CGCTCGGAGAGTGCAGTGAACAGAAGGGGAGGAAAACAATCAAAAAAGCAAAAAAAAAGAAAAAAAAAAGGAATATATAAAATAATAATAAAAAAAAAAAAAACGTTCTTTTATATCCCTTTTAATGTATTTTATATAAAAGAAAATAAATAAATAAATAAAACGAAGAAACGAAGAAAAAACGAAAGAAAAAACGAAAGAAAAAAACGGAAAAAAAAACGGAAAAAAAAAGACAAACACACAAGTGAATGGGAAAAGTCGAAAAAAAAAAGAACTTTGAGAAAGTTGTAGGAAACAAACAAACAAAAAACACGAAAAAAAAAAAACACAACAAAACGGACGCTGAAGATGTGAGCCGGCAGCGGCGGGAGTGACGACGTGGCAATGGTGAACATCTCTCCCTCCCTTCCTCTCTTTTTTTTTTTTTTTTTAATTGTTTTGGCGGGGCGTATTGGCTGCTGCGGTGCCGCCCACCACGAAGAGAGACGGAGAGGGAGAGTGAGTGGATGGGCAGCAGAAGAATAAATGGCGTGCGTGCATGTGTCTGGTATCATCGATGAGAGGCTGGTGGGGTGGGGTGGGGCAGTGAAGCTCGTGACACCATTCACGGAAGTATTTAGTGAAAGAAAAGAAAAAAAAAGATGACGCGGCCGTCTGCCTTCTTGTTTATATATCTTTATGTCTGTGTGTGTGTGTGTTGATGATGACGGCAGTGGCGGTGTGTCTGTGCGGTTGCTTCCCTGGCAACTTAAAAGTGGCACTTCTCATATTTCTTCTCTTTTTTTTTTTTTTTTTTTCCCTTTTTTGCACACAAACACAAACACGCATGAGAAGTTCAATCCAATCGGTGAGGTGGTAGGAAGCCACAGGGAGGAGGAAGAGGAGCAACCGGTGGCATCACAGCAGGCATATCGTAACGTGCGTTGCCACGCCGCAGGAACAACAACAGGAAGACATAAAAGAAAAACAGAACAGGAGGGAGTAGGGGAGGAAAATAAATTAAGTGAAACATGCCGGAGAATCCAACGCAGCCGACAAAATTGGACGAGCCGAACCGACAGGAGCCGCCCACACCGCACCGCGCACCGGGCCCACAGGCCTCCCTGGAGAGCAGTCCAGGGGAGGCGCCCGTTCTACAGGGGAAAGGGCCGCGGGGGGAGTGAAGGGCAGCACACATGCCAAGCCGAGAGGGTGGGGGAGATGGACGTGAGGGGCAGTGTGTGTGGGGACGACGACGTTGCAGCGGAGACCCGAAGGAATAAAAAAAAAAAAAAAAGGTAAACGACAAAAACAACAACAACAAGACGAAAGTGAAAAACGCCGAATAAGAAGGAAACAAGAAGTCCTTGGCATGGGGGCACGAGGAGGTGAAAACGGGTGGGAGTGCGGAATGAATGAGGCATTAAGGAACACACATGCGCCTTGTGCGACATGGGCATAGACGTCTGTGGGGATTTGGCTTACAGTACACCGTGAAATGGGGGAGGAGAGTGAGGGAGGAGTGGGCGCACATGCGGATATCCGCGAATTGCACACACTTTTTTTTTTTTTCCTCCGCACGAACAAACACCCACCACTCCACCCAAAACAATCGAAATTTTACCCGTGAGGGGAGAGTGACAGATGAGAGAGAGAGAGAGAGAGAGAGAGAAAGAGCGAAAGGAGGGACCGGCTGTTGCAAGGACTCTATTATTATTATTTTTTTTACGACAGTGACGGGTTGGGCGTTTTTGTGTGGCAGCAATGACATTCAAGACGCCGCCATGCGTACTGACTATGTGTGTTTACGTACATCTGCTTCTTGCTGTCATTTATTTGTGTTAGCCTTTTACTGTGCTTCTTCTTCCTGCTTTTTTTTTTTTCTGTTTGTGTGTGTTTGTGTGTGTTTGGAGAGGAAGGGGGAGGAGGAGGAGGAGGGCAACGTTATTTATTTTATTTTATGTCTTTGTTTTGTTTTGTTTTGCACGCATACTCCCTCTCCCTCTCTCTCTCTCTACCCCCCATTCCACCTCTTTCTCTCCACCCCGTTTCACACACACAAACTTTCTCTCTATCTCTGTTCTCAACAATACTGCGCATTTCTTGCAGGAAGCCCAAGTCACGCTCCATCCCCTTCGGCACATGTGCCCTCTTGTTTTTGCACACACCATCATGGCTTCCTTTCTCTTTCTCTTTTCTTTTTTTTTAGAGTTTCTTACACCCACACCCGCACCCACACACCCACACACACCCGCACAGACGGCGAAGAAGAAGTGGTCGTTGTTTTATACACCTTTTCCCATCGCCGCGATTGAAAGCGTGGTGTGCACTGCGCGTATAATATACATAAATATATACACATAGTAACCGGCGGAGATGAGGAGCGCCGGGGTGGACTCTTCCGCGACAGTCTCCACGGTTTCTGCGGCGAGGACGACGACGACGACGACGACGTCGCAGCCGTTGCCGCCTACAAAAGTACTGAGAGACAGGGGCATAATTGACTTTAGGTACCCGAGCGAAAAGCGTGCTGCGCGGCAGCTGCAACTTGCATTTCCTGACGCCGATGCGCAGTTAGTGGCGGAGCTCGCGCTTCTCGTCTCGGCGCGGCGGCAGACCATCGAGGACGCCTTGGATTTGCTGCAGAGGCGTGAGGAGTCTGGAAAGAATGCCCCGTCAAAATTCATTCAGAGAATACCGGCGGTGCGGGTGGAGGAGGGGAAACCGAAACAGTCATGGTCGTACAAGAAAGTTGGCGAAACTCCCGAAAAGAATGACGGTGTGCAGAAATCCGGTGAAGTACCACCGAATGGCCGGGGCGCGCCACACGAGACATCCGCAGAGAAGACGGCTGTTGTCGTCCCCGCCGTTCCCAAAACGACGACGAGGGCCAACGTCCCCGCTCAGCGGCGTGCAAGCGGCAGTACTCAGCCGTCAGAGACACGAAGTGGCGGCCTCAATGCGGGAACATTGGCAAAAGATGCGGCGCAGTCCTTTCACAATTCTTCTCATGCCTCCCCGCCATTATCTTCCGCCACGACTACGCGTACTACCAATCACACTAGTGCGACTGCGAGGCATACCGCGAAGGCGGTGCTCTTTGTGACCACCATGACATGCGACCGCCGTGTCCGTGATCACTGCCGTCAGATAGAGACGCTTTTGTACTTGAAACGCATTCAGTACGTATCGGTGAATGTCGCGGATGATCCCTTCACGCAGCGGCGTCTGCGTGAGATGTACGCTGCATCGACGGGTCGCAATGTGATGCCGCCCACACCGGCCTTTTTTATAGGCGATCATTTCATTGGCGATTACGAGGTGTTGCAGGAGTTGGAGGACGATGGGAAGCTGATGGAGACGCTGTGCCAATGCGGCTACCGCACGCCCCAGGGGTCAAATAAAGAGGGCGACGGGACAGAACAGGCGGACAGTTGTTAAGTGATATTTACGTCCTGTTGTTTTTCCCTTAAAAAAAAAAAAAAGAGAAAAGAGATGTTTATTTGTTTTTTTCCTTTTTTTTTTATTTGTTTGCCATTGTTATCATCATTGTTTTTCTTTCTTTCTTTCTTTCTTTGTTGCCACCGTACTGTTTTCCATTATTATTATTATTATTATTCTCTCTCTTTGCCTCGGCTACCACTACCAATACTATTGGCATCGTTGTTATTTGAATGCGTTCTTTTTTTTTTTTTTTTTTTTCTTTCTTCTGTCTTTGGTGTGTTTCTATCCATATATATGTGTATATATATATGAGCAATTACATACGCGTCCAATTCTCCCTTTCTCTCCTTTTTTTTTTTTGTCTGTTTGTGTTTGTGTGCGTGGGCGTATATAAAAATGTGCGTGCAGGCAGACGTTTATTATTATTATTTTGTGTTTGTCGTCTTGTGCTCTTTTGCATCCGTGGCCAAAAAAAAAAAAAAAAAAAAAAAAAAAATAAATTCTCTGAACCTGCAGTAAAAAAAAAAAAAAAAGGGAGACCACTTCTGCGTGCCAGCAGGCATCCATGGATAAATGCTTCCGTGTGTTTGTCAGCCTTTACTGCCCCCTTTCTTTTTATTTTTTTATTTTTATTTTTTGCTGTCGCTGCTGGCGGGCATGTATATTATATATTATATGCACATGTGTACATGCACGCTCATTATGTACGCACTCCGTGTGGAAGCCATTTGTTAAGGAGACGTATCCGCAGTTAAAATAAAACAAAAACAAAAACAAAAACAAAAAAACACAACAAAACACAAAAAGCAGTTAACATCCCTTTTAACAGCGTCATTGGCGGGGGAAAATACATAACAACAGGAGGAGGCATAAGAGGAACCACCACCACCACCAATAAAAAACAAAGGTGATACGCGTTTGCCATGTCTCAACTGGAGGGACTCAAGCAACACACGATTGTCGTGGCCGACACCGCGGACTTCTCGCTACTGGCAAAGTTTAAGCCGGAGGATGCCACAACAAACCCGTCCCTCGTGCTTGCCGGCAGTCAACTCCCGCAGTACGCCAAACTTATTGAAGATGCGGTGAAGTTTGCGAAGGAAAACGTCAGCCGTCTGCGTGATGGACTCACCCCCGGTGCGGACGAGAAGGCACATCTGCTGGAGTTGTCTGTCGACAAATTGACGGTGAACTTTGGCTCTGAGATTCTGAAGATTGTTCCCGGTCGTGTGAGCACGGAGGTGGACGCCCGGCTCTCATACGACACGGCACGTATGGTGGCAAAGGCGAGGCATATTGTGAAGCTCTACGAGGAGTCCGGTACGCCGCGGTCTCGTCTTTACATTAAACTGGCCTCCACGTGGGAAGGCATTCAAGCTGCCCGGAAACTTGAGGCGGAGAACATCAACTGCAACCTCACGCTCCTCTTCTCGTTTGGGCAGGCCGTCGCATGTGCGCAGGCCGGCGTCTCTCTTATTTCTCCATTTGTTGGCCGCATCCTTGACTGGTACAAGGAGCACCAGCCGGAGAAGGCAGAAAGCTACGTTGGTGCGCAGGATCCTGGCGTCATCTCCGTGACGCGGATCTACAACTACTACAAGCAGCACGGGTACAAGACCATCGTGATGGGTGCCTCCTTCCGCAACACGGGGGAGGTGCTGGAGCTGGCGGGGTGCGACAAGTTGACCATCTCACCCAAACTGCTGGAGTCGCTCGACAACACCCCCGGCCCCGTCCCACGCAAACTCGACCCGGCGCACCTCACGGAGAAGACGGAGAAGTTGCCGCCGTTCACAGGGCCGGAGTCGCTCTTTGAGGCGGAGCCAAACACGATGGCGAAGGAAAAGTTGGAGGAGGGCATCCGGAACTTCTCAAAGGACACGGAGAAGTTGGAGGCACAAGTCGCAGCGTTGCTGTAGGCAGGCAGCGGCAACAGGGGAAAGGGGCACAGGAAAACCAATTTGCAAGAGTGATGGGCGTAATACGAGCTAAACCAAATAACAAAGTTTAATAATAATAATAATAATAATGCGCATGTATGTACATGTACATGTATATGACTGTTATTATTATTATTATTATGAATACCAAACAGAAGGGAGGGTGAATGAAAGCAAACGAGTAACAGTGCCCACACATATGTATATATATATACACACACAAACACCCAAAAGAAACCGACGGCTTCCCCCCCCCTCCCCCTCTCCCACACACACTTCCCTAGGAGAAAAAAAAAAAGCGACAACATCAACATCAAAAAAGGAATGAGGCAAGGGCGTCTCCATGACATCTCACCCTTCCTTATTTATCTACCATCATCGCAACAAATGAAACTTCATGCGGTCGACGTTTAGAAAGGGGTGTATGAAAGTAGAAGAAACAAAAAAAATCAAAAAAAAAATAATAAAAATAAAAAAATAAGGCGAGTAAGGAGACGGGGGAAGGAGCGTACATGTATACACGGACGTGGAAATTTATTGAAATACACGCATGCTTTTATTTATTTATTTATTTATTTCTGTCTGTTTGTCCATTGGGATGGGGGCGGTGTGCGCATGTTTTACGTCCACCGAATGCATGGGAGCAGGATGCCCCCGCTGCTATCGGACAAGAGCAGAGGAGGGAGTGGGGATGAGTGGGGATTGCCTTCACTTTTATTTATTTTATATGACTTTCTTGTCGTTTGCACCTCTTTTGTGTGGGTGTGTGTGTGTGTCCTTCCAAGAGCACCCAGCGGGGCTTTGGGGTTCAGTGAATATTTCCTCCTTCTTTTCCTCCTCTCCTTTTTTTGGTTTTTGGTTTTTTTCCGATTTGATTTGGGCAGAACAAATTGAGGGACGTACGAATAAAAAAGAACGTCGATGTTTTCTTTTTTTTCTTTTTTTAAATTTATTTTTTAAATTTGTTTTCATTTTTGTTTTTGTTGGGGCGGCGAGAGGGAAGGGGACGAAATCAAAAGAAATGAAAAGTTGGGGGAACGGAGAAAAGAAAAAAAAAAAAGAAAAGGTCGCATTTCATGTGGTTTGCATGTACACTGGGATTGGGTCTCACCTTCGCATTGGGAGGCGGCATGCGATGCGTGACTGCAGGCTTTGACAGCATCGATAAAAACGAGTGATGGTTTGCTTCAAAGTGTTTTGTAAATAAAATTGTAATAAAAAAATAATGAGAGAAAAAACAAAAAACAAAAAATGGCGCACGTGTCTTTTCAAAGGAATTTGGATGCTTCTTTTTTCTTTTACATGTTGTGCCACTCTGTCTGTGTTTCTGTGTGGTGAATGCATCTCCCACACATTCTCTCCTGTTCTCGTCACATGTAAACTTGTTTTAACAACACGTCTCTACGCACACACACCCGGATTGACAGCAGAGGGAAGAAACAAACAATCAAACAAACACAAAAACGAAAAACAAAAAAGGGGGATGCGTCGCCCATCGAGGTGGCGTCATGTTGTGCGGCCTACACTTCCGTTTGAAGCCTCAGTTATTACCGCTGTCGTGGATGCTGCGATGACGAGGATGGGGATGACACGCTCGGTATCAACAGCGCCGCCAATTTCTTTGCTTTCGTGGTCCGTCGACGGTGCCGGACACACACACCGCCGCTGCAGACGTCGTCTCTCCATTCAAGAACGCATACCGTTGATCTGCAACACAATTAGGGAAGCTGCCCCGGACATCGTCGCGCTTCAGGACTCCTTGCCGCAGGTGGCCGAGGCGCTTTGCAGTCAGTTGGCGCCCAGACACATTAGTAAGCCACACGATGATAACACGCAGGCCGAACTTTTGCCAGCAGATGCCAAAGACGGCCCTCAATACGAATTAGTTGGAGCTGTGCGAAACGGTCGTTGTGGATGTCTGCAGCTGTTTAGGCGCCATGACTCGGTTTGGGGCGGGCGTCTTCTTCTTTCCTGTCCGTCTCTCACGGCCGAGTTTGTTTCCACCGCCCCGTCCGTCCACGACTCAGCCAGCAGAAAAGCAACAGAATCAAGCAAAGTGGATGCGGCTACGGCGGTGGGTGGTGACGGTGGCGGTGTTCGCTTTGTGCTGACGAACGTGGATCTTTCTTACCGTGGCAAGAGCCTGGCGGTAGGAGGGATGCCACTTGTGTCGCCCGATGTAAGCGCGAACGGGAGTCCATTCACGTTGCATGTAGCGCCCGGGACGCCGGCGAGGCAGCGGGTGAAGGGGCAGTTGGATCCGCACCGCGAGGTGGCCCTCACGTTCTTCTCACGAGTGGCAAGGCCTGATGTGTTGCTTGGAAACTTTTTTATGGGACGCGATGAGTCCATGCCGGGGTATGAGGACGCATGGGCACTTGCAGGAGCACCGGCGGAGCATGAGCGCACGATAAACACATTTTACCATCACAAGCATGACGCGGAGACGAATTTCTTTTATTTTTTACCGCAACAGACAAAAGTGGTGGGTAATCCAGTGTCATTTCCTCCTGCGGATGCTCCCGTGGGCACTCGGATCCCGTTGAATGCCTCTTGTCTCATTGACAGGGCTACCGGGTCAAACATCGTGGACACAACGACGAATTCTTCAGTGAAAAGTGGCGGGGAGCGGGATGCCGTGCGACAGCGTGGAGAGGTGCCGCAGGTTGCGGCGAGGATTCAGCGGTGTTTCTTCCGCCGTCTTCCATCAAGGCATCACAAGCGACAACTTCCACTTTTTTCTCGGTACGAACGACGACAGTTGGTGGTTTTGAAGCCCTTCACACATGCCCTTTTGACGGCAGAAGAGGCGGCAGCGGCGGGTCGGGATGGCGGCGGGATGCAGGTGCGTTGCTCCGCCGCGGATGGGTACCCTATTCTGGTGCTTCTTTCCTGAGCCCCGCCATACTGAAGGCGGACACGGTTTGTGCAGCTTTGTTTGTGTGTGTGTGTGTCTCTGCGGGCTGTTTTACCGTCTCCTCCTTTTATTCTTTCACATCCTTCATTCTTTTATATGAGGGAGGGCGAAGGCGGTGGCCTTTTTTTTTTTTTTTCCCTTTTTTTCTTTCTTCTCCCGATTTCCCCTTTGTTGAAATTTCAACCGTCATTCTTTTGATTTTATTATTATTATTTACCTTTTTTTTTTTTTTTTTGTGCGTGTGTGTGTGTGTGTTTCTCGTGGTGGTGCCGCACTTGCTGCAGGTGGCTGGGTGCCATCGTTGGAGGCGAGAAGTCAAGTCGGAAGGAAGCCGAAGAAAAAGAAGAAGAAACCACCAAACAACCAAAAGAGAAAAAACGATGCTGGAGGCTGATGATTGGGTCACCCGGCTGCCTGTGTCCCCAAACAGCGAGCGTGGAGCGGACGACCCGTCTGCGTCGCTCTCTGCTGACGTCTTGTTTTCAGCGTACCGCCTCGGGACTCCTTGTGTTTGCCGACACACAACGACGCGTAACCGCGTGGTG